GAAACCAGAGACCGAAAGATAAGGATAGTTGAGAATCACATTTGGGGATGAGCTTCCAAGGCTTGGAGAAAGAGGACAGAGTAAACTGTAGGGTGTTGGCTGGGTTGGCATCACTCCTTTTCTACTTGCACTGAGGATTTAACCCAGAGGAAAGGGCTTTAAAAGCTGGGAGAGGGTTTTAACTGAGCATAGTAAACTTTGAGGCCTGGAGGAAGAAAGCAGAAAATGTCAACCAAGGTTAAAAATCTTCCTCTCCAAAGATGGCAAATTAACCTTCACCATGGGTCTCTAGCCTGTGTGGATAATTTCAGGCAGTGTGAAAACAGGCCCAGAGACACAGCTCCCTGGCCGCAAGCAGAGTGCAAAGAGGTGGAAACAGCTTAACTTGCCCACAGCATCTTTACTCTAAGCCTGACCTGATCTCCCCCAGGACTGCAGATTCAAATTGATTTCTGTGCCCTGGATAGGTAATTATCCCGGTGGAGTTACATAAGGTCCTTACAGAGGAGGATGTGCCTCTTGGAGATATTTTGACCTTTGTACTGGTATAGATATTTGAGGTCAATTCTTATGCCATAAAATATCACCTTAGGGTGCACAGTTAACTCAGTACATTCACAATGGCATTGGCCATCATCTTTACCACTTTTCAAATCTCTGTACTAGTTCATGTTAGGACATATTTCTCTATAGAGTTTCCTCGAAAATGTTGAGCTGGTGTAGGCTCTGGAGTTAAGTTAGCTGTTCAAAGTGAAAGTGCTGTGCCTTTAGTACTTGATATGAATAGTAATAAGATAAATGTGGGTATTGTTGATAAGACATTATTCTGGAGGAACTCTACTCCACTTCAGCTCATGAGAAATAATGAAAATATGTAATACTTAAAAACACTATGTGTGTATCCAAGATCAGTTTGATTTTTGAGACAGGGTCTCACACTGTACCCTAGGTTGACCTGGAAGTTACAGCTATTGCCCTGCCTTGGTCCCCTGAATGCTGGATTTACAGGTGTGAATGAGTACACAGAAGAAATGAGCATACTCTTAACTGTAGAAAATTTAATTTCAGCAAATGATTTTTAAATACAAACTTTAAAAGACTCCTTTCTCTCAAGGCAAGTAAACAAAAAACAAGCACATGCATATATGTATACATATATTCACACATATTCACATACACTCCTACCCCTCATATACATACATATACTATATACACACATATACACATGCACACATGCATATATATCTCCATTCCCCACATACACATATTTGCATACACACATTTGCATACATGCCTACCCCCACACATATACTCATATACACCCACATACACAATTTTATACATATATACATTCATATATACACTCATAAATACACATACATACACATATACACACATATGCACACATACATTCACATATATACACAGATACACATATACATACACATACACATGTTCACATATACAGATACATATACACACATTCACATATATACATATATAGACATAGACATACATACATTCACATATACCTACATACACATCATATTCATTCATATATACACACATATATATTCACATACACACCCATCCACACAATACACATGCATACATATATACATTTACACACAGACACACATATATATCCATATACATATTCACATATGCATATACACACAGATACAAAGACACATATAATGCCTGGAATATTAGAACAAGTACTTTCTTCCCTCTCCCACACCAGAAGTATGGCAGTGGCATAATCCTCTTCCTATGCACAGAATTAGTAAGAGGGAAAACACATGCTTTCTCTGCAAGTTCCAACATTTGCAACCCTTTGTATTTCATGACTATAAGTGGAGTTGGTGAATAGATGAATGGATGGATTATAGCCCTGGATATTTTGTGAGTATTAATGGTGTTAATGGGCAGGCAGATGGGTGGATCTACTCATTAAATATTCATGCAAGTTTAAGGACATCTTGGGGATTGAAGAAAGGCGTGGTTCCCTAGACCAAGTACCTCTCTCCGGAAGTCCTCACAGAGCCTGAATCACTATCGGAAGGTTAGGAAGTCTGGTTAGACCTTCAGCCTGCATCATGGAAGGTGCTGGCAACTGTTTGCAGGGTTCCTAAAGCAATGAGTGAAGAGGAACACAGATGTGTACTGCCACGCCTGGCTTCCTTCTTCCCTTCGTGGCTCTTGCTCATAGTGAAGATCTGTCTTCTGTAGAGAAGGCACTATTGAATGTTTCAGGCTTGTTGTGTTTGGTTTGCAGTTCAAAGCTGATGACTGTACATGGTGTATCTGTGATGTGAGGACCACAATGTCCTGTGAAACCTAGTATACACACGTGTGAATTGGTGATAGTAGAGCTAGGTGCAACAGTTGCACTCTTGTGTCCCTCCCAGAAGCCACGTTTATTGTTTCTATGCCTTGTGAAGTTTCTATGTGTAGGAGAAAACTCTAGGCAGCTGCTCCTCCATCGGCCTCCTACAATGGCTGCTAGAAAACTAGATATGTCTTCCACATCCCAGTTTTCAGCCTAAAAAATACCAATGGATCTGGGGTAAGCAGTGCCTGGGCAGAGTCTGTCCTCATTTGCCCACAAAGACATTTGTGCAATAGTCTGTTTTAGTAAAGACAGAGAGTAGGATAGAACACTTTAGAAAGCTCTTGTGAAGGCCACGGCCACAGCCAGATGGCTCATTTGCACAGAGCAATAATCTACAGAAGATTATTGGGGTTTATTCAGCAGGCCTCATCCTGGCTCCCTCACCCAGATTCAATGCAGCTGGAATATGGTGAGTGAGATTTGGGTCAGCTCATACCAAAGGCCTCTAGTTCCTTCTCTAAATGGTTTGGCTCACTCACTGCTGCATCACTCACAAAGATCCTAGGGCTCTTGGCCTGGGTCAGTAGAATAAGGTCACTAGTTTCAGAAGGTCTCTGTTCCAGGAAAGATAGACTGTTGCTTCATTTGGTGAGATAAAACAGGCTACCTGTCAATCTTGCAAAACTTGGCTAAGGAAGGATAAGAGGTTAGCATGGCTAAATGGGATCTCTGGTAGTTTGTTCAAGAATACAATTTTAAAGATTGAAGATACTCAGTGGAGATGAGCACTTGCTATGCTTGCACAGGCTCTGGGTTCAAGCCCCAGAACTGAGGAAAAATAATAATACTAATAATAGCCGGGCGGTGGTGGTGCAGGCCTTCAATCCCAGCACTCGGGAGGCAGAGCCAGGCGGATCTCTGTGAGTTCGAGGCCAGCCTGGTCTACTGAGTGAGATCCAGGAAAGGCGCAAAGCTACACAGAGGAACCCTGTCTCAAAAATAAATAAATAAATAAATAAATAAATAAATAAATAAATAAATAAATAAAAATAAAATAAAACCTCAAAAATACTAATAATAACAAATAGTTTTTGCCCCTTCCATAGCCAAACCTATCACTTGTATTTTTGAAAAAATATTAATGTGATTTATGCAAACTCAATCTTCTCCTGCCTCTTTCCCCCTCTCCCTATGTGCCCTTTCTCTACCATTGTTTTCTGTTACATTCTCTTGGGTAAAAACAGCCCAAATGGACGCTGAGCAGGGAAGGTAGAGTGCAAACCAGTTCAGTGGTTGCACGTCAGATGAACAGTCTCAGCGACATCATGCTCGTGTGGACCCAGCGTGTCTGTGGCATGTGGAATGTGTTCACTGCAATGTCCTCAGACATGGTGGTGACAGCTGAGAAGCAGGGCAGTTCAGCATTCTGACTTCAGCTTCTAGGCGGGTCCTTAGCTAGACCACCTATACTTTATTTTGTCTACATGAAAATAGTTATTTTTCCCTCAAAGAGTTTTTCTCTTTTCAAGTTTGAGAAACATGAGGCAAACTACACCAAACTGTTCCCAGTTATTGCCTCTGGTGAATGATGTGTTTCACTGTTCATGTTTAAACTCAGCTGGAATTCTGATTCCTGAGCTTCAAAGGGTGTAATGTCAGGTGACTCTGAGAGACACATCAGAGTGCAAAATTAAAACAAAAGGATTTCCTCCTTTAAAAATTTATTCTGTGGGCATGTATTTAATGCACACAAGTGTGCACACCCCCGCCCCCACACACATACCACACATACATGTAGCAGCCAGAGGTCAACAACAGGTGTCTTCAGCTTCTCTCTACCTAGTTTTTTGAGACAAGGTTTCTCACTGAACTTGGAGTTCACTGATTTGGCTAGAGTGACTGACCACGAAAGCTCTACAAGATAACTGTTTCCACCTCCCCGACACTGGAATTACAAGTGTGCACTGCCATGCCCATTTTTTTAATTCATGGGGGCTCAGGTTTTCATGATTGTGTGGCGAGAGGTTTACTCATGGAACTGCCCTCCCACCCTGGGCCTGGACTCCTTCCTGGAATAGTAATCTGCTTTGCTGTTACTGAAGCCCAAAATTCTTTTTATCTAATGGGAATCAAACCTTCCTTTTAAACAAATTTGCTAAGCTTCCCCTCAAACCTTCATATAGGGAAACAGTAGTTGAGAGAAATTTTAGAGATGAAGATATTAAACAATTATCTCAGGGCTGGAGATGGGGCACAGCACGTAAGAGCACTGGCCATTCTTCTAGAGGACACGGGTTTGGTTCCCAGCTCCCACATGGCAGCTCACAACTGCCTATAACTCCAGTTCCAGGGGATCCAATGTGCTCCTCTCACTTTCTTGCACATTTCATGCAGGTAGTACACAGAAGGCATGCATGCAGGCAAAAACACTCATACACATAAGATTAGAAAAGTTTAAAACCAGTGACCTCCTGTGTTTAGCAGTTTCAGAGCTGACAAGGAAGCATTAGGAAGCCCTGTTTGAAATCTCCATCATTTAAAAGTTCCAGTTGCCATGGTTAGCTAGATTTTACATTTTGGGATTTTGTTTCATTTTTTAATTTTCACTCTGGATTTCAGTTGGGTGAACATGGAAATCCCATTGTTTTTAATCAAGATGACTTACTATTTGTTCAGTCCTGACCCGAGCTTCTGAGACATTAAGACAATCTCTGGTTGAAGATGGGAGTCTCTGGTGGCCACTTCATCATCAGGATCCTGTTCTCCGTGTCCAGAAGTGGATGACCCGGACACCCCCAGGGTCACCTGCCAGTAGCCGAAGGTCCTCTTGTCCCCTCACAGTATTTTCAATCACAGTACTTTTCCTCCACCAATCCAGGGCACATCTAACCACTCTTTCCTCCCGTAGAGCTGAACCAAAGTTCACTAACTCCTGGGAGGTCTGGCCTTAAGCCAGGATCAGAGGAGGGGACTTCCCCAACATCTATGTTTGCTCTTCACTGACCCAATTATCAGGATCCTACCTTCTGGTACTTTCTGGAATCCTACATAAAGAACTACTTGTGGATTCCGACTTTGTGATGCGTCACCTCTTCAAGAACTCTGCGTTAGTCACCCAGTTTCCAGCACTATCCCAGCAGACCTTGCTCTCTAAAAGAAGTTTAACCATGTGCAAGCTGACTATCTCCGGTCACAGGTTACAGCCACACATCAGGCTCCCTTACTCATCTACAGTAAATGTCCTTATTGAGTAAGTCAACACATGTCAATGTAGAGGAAAGTCACTAAATAAATCAGCATGTTAAGTGTTAGAATAATTCATAGGCTATATTTTGAATGTAGTATTTTTTTGACAACTCTGTGAACAGATGACTTAATCAAAACAGCCAGAGGAAATCACCTCTGGGAGAATTCAGCTACAGGAGGAAAAGTGGTGTGGGGTGGGGTGGTAACAACAGAAGAATAAAAGGATACAAAGGTGTATGGAAAGTCATTTGTTAGTAAAATGAGATGTAAGAGTTTATACATTGAGATGAATAGACAAGATAGAAAGGGGAAGAGTAAGTAGCTGAGGTTCTGCTGAATCTCAGAATAAAATTATAGGAGAGGTGGGCTGGGGAGAGATGGGCTGAGGAGAGATAGCTGGGAGAGAGAACTGGACAGAGATGGGCTGGGGAGAGATGGGCTGGGGAGAGATGGCTGGACAGAGATGGGCTGGGGAGAGATGGCTGGGGAGAGATAGGCTGGGGAGAGATGGCTGGGGAGAGATGGGCTGGGGAGAGATGGCTGGGGAGAGATGGCTGGGGAGAGATGGGCTGGGGAGAGATGGGCTGGGGAGAGATGGACTGGGGAGAGATGGGCTGGGGAGAGATGGCTGGGGAGAGATGAGCTCAGTCATTGCCTTGTACAAGGACTTGGGTTTGATTTCCAGAGCACAGAGGAAGAATCTGAGGGCAGTGGTGCATGCTTGTAATCCCTGTGCTGGGAAAGCAGAGCCAGGTTGATCTTTGGGGCTTGCTGGCTAGAAACTAGCACACTTAAAGTTCTAGGCTGTGAGAGAACTGTATTGAAAAAAAAAAAAAAAACATGATGGGAGGCTCCTGAAAAATAACACTTGAAATTGTCTTCTGGCCTTCTCTCTCCCTCCCTTCCTTTCCCCTTCCCTCTCTCTCCCCTTCCCCCCTCTCTCTCCCTCCCCCTCTCTCTCATACACATACACACACATACGCACACACACAACCTTTAGGAAACAAGAGAAATGTCAATCTTGGACTGGAGGAGGTAACTTTCTTCTCTCAATAAGAAGGAAAAGAAGTAGAGGTTGATGGGGGAGCTGAATAAATGTGTGGACTAAACAGAACCTGCCATAGCTCTCGGCTTCCATGGAGGGTGGGACGCATCCCATATTGCCAGTAGAGCTGAGGATAAAGGAAGCTTGGAGGTGGGTACATGTCTGTATAACTTCTCCAAACAAGATGTGAAACATGCCAGAAACCGGCGAAGAAGCTGACAGCAGCCTAAAGTCCATCTGAGGATAAAGATGTGTTTACACTGTCTCAGTCTCCAATGAATATTCATCTGTTTTTGTCTAGTAACACCCAACTGTTTCTATGAAGTGGGAGCAGAGAATACAGATGGTTGGCAAGATCCAAATTCAGGGGCTGTAGCGATGGCTCTGCAGATACACAACACTCCTTTGCAGAGGGTCAGGGTTTGGGTCCCAGCTCCTGTAGCAGGAGCTCACTCACCTAACTCTAGCTCCAGGGGATCTGACATCTTCTGACTTCTGACAATACCTGCTCTTACGTGTTGTGTGTAAACGCACATAGGCATACACACATGCAAGTTAATAAATCTTAAAACATCCGAATTTAGAGAGAATGAATGGAAAAGAATAGGGTCCTCATTAAAGAAGGATTCATGTAGGCTACACAGAGGCGGGGTGGGGGTGGGGGTGGGGCTAAGATCAATAGGAAGATCCCGGTTCTGAGAGAGGTGTGTTTGCCTATGTGTTTATGTGTGTATTGAGGAGTCAGATGAATGACAGTATGTGACCTAGAACAGAGTGAGAAAGAAACGTCTGAAAATAGTGTCCTTGCACAAGTGTGACTGTCCGATTTAGAGATTTCATAGAACACCGTGCAGAATGGTGCTGAGATGAGGGCTGTCTTTTCATGTAGATTTCCAAAAATAGGAATCTTTAGTGCTCAAAATAAAAATGGGCAGAGATGTAAGGTTGCAGTGCTGGGGATCTCTGGAACTTGCTGTCAGGGTACTCTCAGGAGTGGGAATGTAATGGAGCTGAAAACCAACCATCAAGGAATAGTCACAGCTGACAGCAAGCAGATCTCATTTGCGAGAGAAAGCAGAAGTCTGTGTTGGCATCATGGTCAAGGAAGACTACCCTGACTCATATTCTGGGGTGCACATAAAAGTCCTCCAAGGAGTGCAAAACACAGTCACAATGGGGAGGATTGTGAAGCATGGGGTTATGTGGCTGTTATCTGTGTAGAGCATGTGTGCGTGTGTGTGCACACACGCGCGCAAACACACAAACCTTCACCCACCCTCAGTTCCACTTCCTACTCACACCAGCAACTCTTACATTAACAAGCTTAATGCATTTCATGTACACACTTTAGTCTTTTCTTACAAGAACTTTGGGATATAAAATGTGTGGTTATCATTTACCAATCAAACTGAGGAAAGAAGACATTTTAGTGACTGGCTGAGGACAAGGTCAGGGACTGTGATGATTGCCAACTTGACACAGTCTATAATCACTTTGGAAAAGAGTCCCAATGAGTCATTTCCCATGTCAGGCTAGGCTGCGCACGTGTCAGTGGGGAACTGTCTTGATTACATTAAACGATGTGGGAAGACTTGCTCACTGTGGGTGGCACCATTGCCTGGACCCCTGGACTGTTTAAGAATGGAGAAAGTGTGCTGGGCCATGGTGGCGCACGCCTTTAATCCCAGCACTCAGGAGGCAGAGGCAGGCAGATCTCTGTGAGTTCGAGGCCAGCCTGGTCTACAGAGTGAGTTCTAGGACAGGCTCCAAAAACAACACAGAGAAACCCTGTTTCAGAAACAACAACAAAAACGTGTGGAGAAAGTGAGCTGAGCACTAGCAGGCATGCACTAGTTCACCTCTCTCTGCTCTTGCCATGTTCTATGATCTGACCAGTTTGCTCACTGAAAGACACCGAAGTCATCCAGTTACTGTCAGTAATGAGAAAGCTTTCTGTTTCTTTTATATGACAGCACCTAGGGCACTTTGCACAGTTGATAATTCTCAACTCTTCGTTTGTTTTTTTTTTTTTTTTTAAGACAGGGTCTCTTTACATAGCCCTGGCTCTCCTGGAACCCACTATGTAAAACAGGCTGGCCTCAAACTCACAGAAATCTTCTAGCCCCTGCCTCCCTAGTGCTAATATTAAAGGTGTGCATCTTTCCCTCCCTCCCTCCCTCCCTCCCTCCCTCCCTC